ACTCAAGTGAACTTCTGTTAAATCTCCGGACCTGTTCCCGGAGCCGCAGAGCCGCACCGCACCGTAGTCAAAAGGGCGGTGTGAGAGGGGGTGTGCGGGGAGTTGCGGTCTCCGTCGGCTCGGTAACCGCACCGGAGCCAGTGTGAGCAAGGGGTAAGACCCTTCCTCCGACCTGCATAGTGATTGAATCCTTTTCAACATGGCTCCAGTAAGAAACAGGCTTCGCGCTATCATTTCTGAGACACCAGTCACGATCTTCAGTGATCAGAACAATTTTTGGCGTGCTCTGCAGACCCCCCGCAAGGCTAAACTTTTATTATGCTGAACTCAGATGCCTCCGACCCACGCTCTGCAAGAAGAATGGTCTCTAGAACCCTATGGTGCCAGTGGTAAATGGGGGTACGTTTTCTACTATGAAACTGGGGATATGCGTCTCTATCAGTGGGGTGAAGAAGCTGACAAGCTGCAGACTGTCCACAAACGATTGGGTTGTTCTGAAACTCATCATGCGCCGTAGACCGCAAGGACCTGAATGTAGCAGGCCCTATTGTTAGCCAAGGAGCAGAGGACAGAATCACTGATACACCCGCTGCTAAGCGCGACAAGCTGGAGCAATCCCTCCTGCACGAAACTGACATAGAATCAGGAAGTAGGATCTTCTCAGCTACTTGGCAGGCAAAGAGGGGGGTTACCGACCGATGGTTTTTTGTGCAAGTCTCAGAAAGGCTCAAGATGAATCAATTATTTTCATGCTTGAGTATTATAATTCTGAGTGCGGTGTGTTCAGGACATTGTCAGCTATTCCGTTTGATGCGTGGCTTGATAAGATATCAGGAATAGCAGATAAAATTTCTATGCTGTTTTGCGACTGTTGCAACTGGAAAGACATTCTGGCAGTCAAGAAAGCGCTTTCTTTGTAGACCCACCCCCTCACAACAGCCGATACCACCCCTTCAACATTAACCACGCCCTACACAGTCTAAAACGAACAACCAAACGGGCTGATCAGGACTCTGTGCAACTTCACTAAACAGATTTCTAACATCTGAAACCATGAGGAAGGACCTGGGCTGCGGTATCTCGTCCTGCGTTGTGGATAGCTCTCCTGCTCCACCGTCGCCTTCTTCTACTGCTTCAACATCGCCGCAGCACGGGTCCCCGGACAGTGACAAATTCTTCCCAGGACTATACCACCCTCCTTCACCATCATCCCCGCCGGCTCTTGATTCCTCTTCCCAAAGCGACAGCGGGAGTGAGGATTTGTACGCCGCAACGATGAAACGCATATCCGACTGGTCTTGCCGCCCCCCGGTATGAAACTCAGCTCGGAGCGCTTCGTATTACGGGCTAAGGACTAGAGGCAGTGAATCATGTGAACAAAAACTAGCTTTAAACATAATGCGTTTCTTTGTGGCTCAGATCGTGAAGCTGTGGTTCCTCCTATATCCGCTGATCGAATCAGGACTTGCCAAAGACAGATACCACGACTTTTGAATGTATAGAATGCTACGACACGCTGTTCCTAAATCTAATAAAGACGCTGACACATCCTCGTCCTTATGAAAAGAAATCTGATTCAGACCACGGTCAGGAAATCCACAAAGAGTCTCTCATCTTTTCCTGAGTGGCGTATTTTTCACCCCCTCCCAAGGTCCAAACACTTCATGGTTTAATTAACCGTTCACATCAGGAGACCCTTAAAACGGACACTGTCGTCTTTGTATAGAATGCCCCGGTCAGCTGTCACTAAGTCACCCATCTTAAATGTTTCCTGAGTGAGCACAGGTCTATCGGATAAGATAACAGCATGGCGTGGTCCGAGGCCCTCATGGTGTAACCTTTTGCATCAGGAGACGCTTAAGACGGACACTGTCGCCTATGTATAGAATGCTCCGGTCAGCTGTCACTAAGTCACCCATCCTTGCTGGAGAACGGTTGCATTTTACAAAGCAGCCTAAAGTGACCCAGAACTTTTCCTCTGCGACCTGCGTCTGAGCGAGCACATAAGCGGCTAGAAAAACAACAACCATGGTGGACGATAATGTGGGGGGAGCATTTTTTTTTCCAACCATCTTAAAAAGATTGTGTTTTTAAGTTTGGGAAAGACCACTAGATGCAAGCCAGCCCTTCCGTCCATGTTTACTTCCGTAAACATTTGCTGCCAATGTTTCTTCCATACTATCGTAAGTGAACAGGTCTTCTGAAACTTAGACATAGCTCAACGTGAGGGCTTGACACTACATATCCACACTTGCATTTTGCTTTTTAAGCATAAGTTCCTTTGGAGGCTTGTAAAGCAGAGGATTGCATCTAATATTTCCCATTGTTTCTAACTCCTGAGCTAGAAACAATGGAAAATCGATTAATTTTACTTTTAGTGACAAGGGATCTACCAGCATTATGTTGATAGGCTTGAGATCTCCATGCGCCATTCTATTGCTATTTAGAAAATTTTAAGGCAGCACTACCTGTTGAGCAATAACTCGAGTGTCACACAAATGTAGTCCATCACCTACAATGCCTCCTGTAAAACTGTCTAAATCGATATCCACCTTTTCAAACAATTTCATCAAGTCCCTTGTTGATGAGTTACAAGCCAATTTTAATTTCTGAACTTCCATCTGTCTTTGGTCAATTTTGGCAGTGTTTTGTTATATAAAATAACCTTTTTTTTTCCTCCTGCAGTACAGTAAACTGCAAGGAAATATGTCTTAAGAGATTTATGTACATTTGGTATTTGAATAAGCTTTAAAAACATATCTGTTTAACTGAATTTTCAGAACTGTTATTGTTTTTAGGTAAATTTTTACCTATTTATCTCAAATGTACTTTTTGTCTCTGCACAGGCAGACAATCACCAAGACACTTACTTCTCTCAGTTTCCATTCTCTTTGTAATGAATTTAGAGGCAGGGCTCGGATGTGTGACTTCACCAAAGTTCCGGTGTTGTGGACCTGTAAGGGAGCTGCAATATTTTTATTATTTTTTTTTTATTTATCCATATTTTTATCCTAAGTGTATATATTAGTATATTTTTTGCATGCCTTATACCCCAGTGTTTTTAGAGATTTTTATAATTTTATTTACCTATTTCATATATGTTTCATGTTGCACGATTGTACCATAAAAAATTCCTAGTTGTGAACTCCTTCACTAACAATGGCAATAAACCCGATTCTGATTCTGATTCTGATCACTAAGACATAGATTTCTCTTCATTTTGTACTGATTCCATGCACTCAATGTACAAATTAGGGAGCGCTGAGTTAGAGAAAAATTA